GAAAACTTGCTTTGCTTGGTTATACTGGGAGTGTTAATGCCAGTGGATTATGTCACATAAGAAAAAGCAATAACATGACAGAGATAAATGACGTATCTATTGAGAAAAAGTATAAAGTGGCAAAACAAGAGTAGATACAGTATTCGAGAACTGAAATACTGAATGTGGAAAGCCAGTCATAGTAGTAAGAAATTGTTAGAGCAGAATGAGAAAAACGACTTAAATACAAAATTTCCTAAATCTAATGATGAATGTCATAAGAGGGGGGTTCCTAAATTCTCACCTGGTGGTGTCTGCATGCGATTTACCATTTGGTTTGGCACATTGGAACGGATCATATTTGGGTCAGGAAGAGGACCATCTGTAATGTAGACAAAATCCCCAAAATTAAATTAAGACTTTTTCACAAATCCTAGGTAATTTATAAAGGCTCATTCACATATTCCTCCAGTTATGTTTGGTAAATGATTTTTTAAACATATGTTCTCACGTTTGGGGTCCTACTAGGGGAGAACATCACTGGAGATAGCTATTGGACTAATTAGCTGACCCCACCTCCCCCCTAGGCTTCCTGGTCCCCCTCAGCCCATCTTTTTAAATTTCATATGATTGTACTTTATTGTTTTATTCCTTTGCTATTGCTATGTTTACATTTTTTTATTTCTTTTTTCATTTTATTGTTGTAAGCTATCCAGAGTAGCCCCATGGCAAGATGGGCGGCAAATACATCTAACAAATAAATAAATAATGGAAACTTTGTTTGAACCCCAACCCAAAGCGGGGAATATTTATCTGATCCAACTGTTGTTTTTCATCTTCTATCACAAGCCTTTCTGTATGCTCAGTTTGTGATGCCTTGGTAACAATCATGCTGATGTTATAGCAAGGGCTGTTGGCTGCTTCTGGCTATTGTGGGCACACCTTCTCCCTTCTTCTATTGGTGATTTCCCTGTATCGCCATCTTGGCTTAGAAAGGAGAAATCAGGTACCAGTGTGTAATTTTTGCTCATTGTTTACCAGATGAGAAAAACAAGCAAGACTGAATAAGTAAGAAAGTGCTAGTGTAAGCAACAGAAAGGAAACAATAGGAATGTAAAGCAGAAAAGATGGGAAATCCCCCCTTGTCCCACAAATTATGTTCTGATAGATTACTAAACCTAAACATCTTTAAAATCTGACTCTTTCCCCAGTGCCAGCCCATGTTATGGAGAGCAGTTGGTGAATGTTTTTCCCACTGGTAGGAAATTTACCAATCATTTTTGCCAACTTGTTCCACATGGAAATTGTCATTTATAAATTCTAAATAAGCTTATGAACCCATTTCTAAGATATCACAATTGTTATTTTGATTCTTCACTGGCTAAGGATTAAATTTTTCGAATATTAATTACACAGGTTAATTTAAACACTTACTTGCTGTCATTCCAGGCTGTGGCTGCCCCATGGGTCCTTGACTCATAGGAGCCGGTGGCATGACTGGGGCATTTGGTATCATATTTTGCCTCTGCAATCTAGTCCTTCTCTTTTCCTCCAATTCCTTCTGGATTTTATAAATTTTCTCTGCTAGTAAGTGATAGTACTCTGCCTATAATGGGAAAGATATGTATATTAAATAAAAATTAATGATACATATGTATTTGCTAATTTTAAACTTCCAGGTGTACAATATGGATTTTACTCCTTAGAATTTGATGTTTATTCAATACTAATAAAAGAGCTATCACTGTAATGCATGTTCTGCATATAGAAAGCTAAACAATGTAGTGATGTGGATTGGTTGGACAGGTAGGTGGGAGTTAAGAATACCTAGAGGTTAGACTGTAGTAAGCGCCAAGGCTCCTAGATAATCAGATTTCCCTCTCTTGCCATCAGAACTCTGCAATACAAACTGGGACACTAAACTGTAATACCATCTGGAGTGTAATATAAGGTTTGATATTACATGTATCCTCAAGGCCATATAAAACATATCATACACTGTATGATTTTTAATCCTCATTCTAAGGCATATCTGCAACACTACCTCTAATGCAATATCCTACCACATGAATTAATAGCAGGCTGCTCCTCACTGTTAGGATCTATCCAATTATGTTAAGGCACTATGAAAACTACATTCACCTACATTGCTTTGGGGTGAATTTTGTTCCTTGAATAAAATAAATGAGTTTAAAAGACTGTAATTGATTTTGTAATCCAACTATATACACATAATGGTTCACTAGCATCACTGAAGTAGTCTCTTCATATTATTTGCTTTATACACATCTCACAATGATAGAAAAGAATACATTTTGAGCAGAGTATACATAGAAAAGGATCAGGCATTTAGAAATGTGTGAGAAATATGAGTCCAGAAAATACTAATAGCATACCCTGCTATTTGCAGATTCATACATGTCCCCTTCAACTTTCCGAGCATAGGAGACAAGATTCGCCATACGCCTATCTTTCAGTGCTGCAGGATCAGGAGTTGGAAATATGGCTTGTACTCTAGAGGAATATAAGGAACAAATGTTAAATCTGACCCTAAGGTCAAACAGCTACTATTTCATAAGCAAGCAAACCACAAATTGTGAAGCTTTGTATTACAGAACACTACCATGTTCCACTTTAATGTTTTTCCTTTAGGAATAAAAAATAGTTGGTTGGCTGATAAATCAAAACAATTCCCAACACTTTCCAGTATATTTAGGAATCCAGAAAACATTATCCTTGTGAACTAAAATATCGGTGCCAAGAAGGGAGGGAAGCAACTCAAGTGATTTTAATTTAGCCACATCAAAATAGGAGAGAGCAGGGATTTATTTAGCCAACAAGTATTTTATCTTTCTTATGGTATTTTTTATCAATGCTGCTATAGGTGAGAAGAATATAGGAACTCTGCAGCTATGTTGCCCCTCCCAAAAAATTAAAAAACTTACTGAAAGCTTGTACACCCAGCCTTATTTAAGTTTAATACAAAATAGTCTTTCCAAATCACAGCAGCACAAATAAATAAAGGATATCTAACAGAACAGCCTTCCTTGACTCAGGACCCCTCCAAAATGTGCCAGACCAAAGCTTTCACTGTCCATGCTACCTGGAAGTAACAGGAATTGTAGTTCAATACAATACAGAATATAGCCAAGCACAAAAGATCATATTGACTGCTGCACAGTCAATGCAACCTTTTTACAGTCCTATCAGATCAACAGAAAGTACTGGATTACTTGGGTTTCTGGAATTACTTTTTAGCTTTCATACTGTATAGCTATGATAGAAAATTACAGTCGACTCTTTCAGCGGTTTACCACAAGAGCCAGTAGATCATAGCTGCTGAAGTCTAGGCCCAAAGGATTTTTAACAATTAGAGCTATGGAAACTGTTTGAAAAAGATGACTGACAATGTGCAGAAGTATGAACAAAGTACTTTTCTTTTAATCATTACAACTACCATGTCTTTAACCAGCTTGCTTTGTTACTTCGTAAGTTGTTCCTAGCTATCTCTGTGTATGCTTTTTTGCTTCCACCATCCACTATAACTGTGGTTAATGCAGGGATCTAAATTAAAGCTCTATCATCAAAGGGCTTTCCAGCCTCTACTCCCAAACATATACTGAAAGTAAACTCACTACTTCCCTTATCTTTTTTAAATGTCCTAACACTCAACTGAAATCTGTATTCTTGTAACTTAAGATCATTATTTGATTTTCAAACTTAGCCACAAAACTAGCAACTCCCACAGAGAGGGTCTCCTCAGGGTGCCGTCAGCCAGACAGTGCCGGCTGGCGACCCCCAGGGGGAGGGCCTTCTCGGTTGGAGCCCCCACCCTATGGAACGAACTACCCCCAGAGATCCGGGTGATTCCGGATCTCCCCTCCTTCCGCCGCGCCCTCAAGACATGGCTATTTAAGCTAGCAGGTCTGGCCTAAGGG